CAGGTAGAATTAATGATGGCTTCATTGCACTTACAGGAAGGTCCCGCTTTGTGCCCGCTGGTTTGCTGTCATGACTTCCTGGGACACGTAATGGAAGCGAACTGTCATTAATTCCACCTCTGCTTTCCTCAGTGTGACAAGTTAAAAATGTGTGCTGTGAAAAAAAAAAGTTCTGTTGTCACTTGAATATTCTTCTGTCATTAATGACACGGCAAGAACAGGAAGGAGGAAGTGCAGACACAAGCAGGCAGACAAGAACGCTTTAATATTTTATTTAACCGAAACTGTAGGTGGCGGAAATCACAGCTCATATATGCACACTCTTAGACGTTGTGTGCGCCTATCCCCGACCACTCTCGCCACATTTGACAGCTACATTATTAACCTGGCAGTCCCTCCAGTGGCTGATTCCTATCTCGCCTCCCTGGCTCCTGTGAAGGAGGATGCCTGACTCACTCTCACTGTCTGCAGGAAGTTCAAATAGAGGCCCGATAAGAGGAGAAAATGATAAGTCATTCCAAAATTGTCACACTACAATAGAGCCTGGAGGGCTGCAACAACAGAATAATCATGAAGAACATCAAGTCCCTTACTCGTATACGATTGGTGCAGCTAGACACAGATGAGGGATTATTTCCTAAAAGTGTTATTTTTTTTAAGATACAGTATGTGCAGTCCCTAAAACCGCAACATGCACCAAACCTGACACAGCAAGAAAAGCTAAATCTATTTCACCAAGGACTGCTCTCTTTTTTTTTCCCCCTGTAGATTAAAAAAGGAGGCTCATCCTGCTTTCAAGGACGAGCATTTCATGTATTCACAGCAGCAAGATTTGTTCTTTGCTGTTGGAATTCCCAACTCCTGTGTTCCAGACAAAGCTTTTACTTGTAGAAGCCGTTCAATCTGCTTTTCTGTAAACTAACAAAACAACTGAAACGAAGGGATGCTTGTGTTTGGTGTCGGTGTACCAAGTACATATTCACAAAGCTGAATCCACAGGCTGGTACCGATTCTTCAATAAGTAAATTAAACTTATCAATTAGCAAAATCCCCCTTTAATTACCAACACTTGAAGCCAGTGTTTACAAGGGTTTTATTGATGGTAGATGTGACTGGACTCATTTAATGAAGAAAAACATTATTCTTGCTAAAGAAGAGAAGCTCGGAAAAGTTGGAACGTATCATTAACTGAGCATCTTAAACTTGTAATACATATACAGTCATTTCATGGCTTTGTTGTTGCAAATCTCTTCTTAGTTTTGCAAATAATAGCTTGAAATGACACCTGTGCATCCAACTTGTCTGCAGGCCAGACAACCATTTCAAACGCTGCGAACAAATTGTGTTCCCAGGACTTTGTTTTAGCTGCTTTCACCAGCATAGTTTTCCATCTTTTTTATTTTAGTGGCGTAATTTTGTGTCGCTGTTCACCTGACGTCATAATCATCGTCCTATTGTAGTTGACCCAAACTTCCCAGCTTCATACCTGTCACTGTTCTGAAGGTTTTCATATCGTGGGTTTGGTCATATATCATCCATAGGCTGATTTATAGAGCATGTTCTTCATAAAAGCACGTCCAGAAGGATTTTTTTCTTTGTTTATCACAGATTATCGGGTTGATAAGAACCCCTTTTGCAAAAACCTTTGGCACAAACAAAATGAAGTGAGAATTTTGATCCAGTATTCAGATTTATGTTGTACAAATTTATGCACATATTATGTCTCATTCTGCATATTTATACCTAGCATCACAAGGTTCAGAAACCTTTCATACCTTGCGTGGATTAGCAGAGTCACAAGACGTGAGAGTCTCCATTGTTGGTGTTTGCGTACTATCGATGCAGAAAGTGTTAATTATGCTGTTGCAGCACAGTTGTTCTTCGTCTATTATTCCTTTCTTATTCACTTGCTGCCACTAAGTTTTAAGTGAGTATTGCAGTTTAGCAGGGCTGCAAGGTGGATCGGTGGTTAAGCACTGTTGCCTCGCAGCAAGAAGGTCGCCGGTTCGCATCCTGGTGGGGGCACCGGAATCTTTCTGTGTGGAGTTTGCATGTTCTCCCCGTGCAGCGTGGGTTCTCTCCGGGTTCTCCGGCTTCCTCCCACACAGTCCAAAACATGTTGAGGTTAATTGGTGATTCTAAATTGTCCGTAGGTGTGAATGTGAGTGTGCTTGGTTGTCTGTCTCTAAGTGTAGCCCTGTGATAGACTGGTGACCTGTCCAGGGTGTCCCCTGTCTTCACCCTAAGTCAGCTGGGATAGACTCCAGCCTCCCATGACCCTCATGTGGATTAAGCGGTGTATAGATAATTGATGGATGCAGTTAAGTATTGGCAAATGTCTGCACCTTTCCCAAAAATGCTCAACACACTGTCAGTCCTCACACATAGACAACAAGTACAAGTCTGTCCAAACACAGAAGCTCAACATCCACATTGGGTTTGTAAAGTTTGATGATGCTACTTCT